GGTAGGGGAGGGAACTTGATTACTTGTATCCTGTGTTAGCTTGAATTTTTTTTTTTTTTGGTTTTTCGAGACAGGGTTTCTCTGTATTGTTTTGGAGACTATCGGTCCAGCCCAGCCTCGAACTCACAGAGATCTGCCTGCCTCTGCCTCCCGAGTGCTGGGATTAAAGGCGTGCGCCACCACCGCCCGGCTGTTAGCTTGAATTTTGATGACAAGAAGTTAATGTACTAAGAGCTAAAGTATGCTTTCCAAATAAAGAATCCAGATCAATCACTTGATTCCCTTCATGTGTGGTCTAGATCCCTGAGTTCTGGATTCCAGTATCTACCCAGGAGAGGACGTGCCACTCCCCAACCTGACAATCAAAGCCCCACATCCCCCAACCTGACCACTTCTGGAAATTCTGTTCCCAGCCATACACCAGTGGCCGCTCATGTCTCCCTCCATTCTCTTCATGTGCAGCCACTCCTGTGGATGAGGCATCACGCTGAGAACACCCTCTCTCTCACAGGGCTGTGCCCATGCGCCATGCTCTACTCCTCCCAAATTACATGATTTTCCGAGTCCTTCCATGCTGCTGCCTGGCTATTCCCGTGCATCCGTTTCCTACTCCAGGTCTTCAGACTTTGGTTCGAGCACGCCTTCACAACCATCCAGTCCACAACGATCTCATGTCTCCGTGCTTTTGAAGTCAAATGCTCTCCCTTGCACTGGTGCTTAACTAGCCCTCAGATCTATAGTTCAAGCTGTAGCTATATACATCATACTGTCCCCCCATACAGACTACAAACTCCTGGAGAAACAGAATTATATTATACATTTTCCCCTTCTAGGACGTGTAAGTAGCTAAGTACTGGTTAAGAACGTGTGCAGGGAGGGCCTGTTGAGCATTGAGCTCCTTCTAGATAATGCTGGGGATCAAAACTCCAACCTCACAGGTGGTTCTGAGAATCAAATGAAAGACTGTTACAGTCTGAGCCTCCCCCCACTGCTCATGTGTTTGGGCACTTGGTCCCCAGCTGGTGACTCTGCTCTGAGAGGTCATAGGTGTGAGGTCTCAAACTCAAGACAAAGGGTTGAGGTGCCTATTTACATATCAAAGTGGACACTGGCTGCCAGGTTCTCCCAGCATCTCTCAGTACCTGTTACAGAGTCATCCTGGACATGGAGTCCAGACATTGGGCCATAGGGGTAGGACTAGAGAGTTATAGTCACCTCAGTTCTGACCTGAGCGCTCTTCCTGGTCCATATGAGAAACGGCGCCACAAGTCCCTCCCACCACCCAGCCTTCTGTGCTGAGTGGCATTCTTCTCAAAACCTGAGTCAAAATGAGCTGTTCACCCTAAGCTGTCAGGTATTTGGCCATGATGAGGAAAAGTAATTAACGGCTAAAGACTACAGTGGTGTTCACACAATGCCTGACATGTGTGAAGTGTTCAGTGAACAGGAGTTCCCACTCCCCAACATCTACTCCAGAGCCGTGAACACACTAAGCACTGGATTATTACCTGCTGGCTGACGCACAATGGACTCAATCAGAGAAACCCACACTCGAAAGCACAAGAGCAGCCCTGTCAGGGAAATCAAGTAGCTTTTTTCCTTGACTAGCCCAAGCAAGACATTCTGCCTGAGGAGAGACTTGGGGTGGAGGATGGGGGTAGGGGTGAGGGGTCAACGTGGCTTGGCAATGAGATCATGAAATATTGACTAATAGGAAATTTAGTTGTTGCTGCTGTGGGCAGCTGATTTTTGTATGTTCAACTGAATTGGTCATCTGTCAAGACTCCCAGAAGAACGTGGGAGGCACATGCTTCTTTTAAATGGAAAATACATTCTTACAGACACCAGGTCTCACTGGTGTAGGCTTGGCTCCAGACTCTGCAAGGAATGCGCATCAGGGAGCTGGGGAGATTGCGCAGTGTTTTCAAGGCAAGCCTAAGGACCTGGGTTCAAACCCTGACACCTGTGTATGACAAGCCTGACTCCACACACACCTGTAACCCCAGTGCTAGGAGACAGCGACAGAAGGCTCACTGTCCAGCACATTTACGGAGCTTGAAGTTCAGTGAGAGACTCTGCCTCAAAAAATGAGGTGGGGAGGGGGCTGGAGACATGGCTCAGAGGTTAAGAGCACTGGCTGCTCTTCCAGAGGTCCTGAGTTCAAGTCCCAGCAACCATATGGTGGCTCACAACCATCCCTAATGAGATCTGGTGTCCTTTTCTGGCCTGTAGGCAGACATGCAGGCAGAACACTGTATACTTAATAAATAAATAAAATCTTAAAAAAAAAAGGTGTAGAACAACAGGGAAGGATTTACCTGGCATTCTTCTGACCCCTCCCTTCATCCCTTCTCCCCTCTCCAACAGCAACACCCATGCCTGGCCTTCCTTTGGAAAAAGGGCAGTTGTAGTTAGGGCCCTTCTTGGCATGCTGATACTCCACAAGCCCGTGAACAATTTGGAGAGATTTACTCTCTATGACCACAAAATGCTAAACATGGAAGGCAGGTCACCCGGAAGGCAGGTCATCTGGTTCCAGAATTCCTCATGAGGGTCTGTGGAACCTAATGGAACTGCCAATAGAGCTCTCAGGAGGCAGAGGCAGGCAGATCTCTGCAAGCTCAAAGTTCCAGGATAGCCAGAGCTGTTACACAGAGAAACCCTGACTTGAAAAGCAAATCAAAACAACAACAAAAACAAAACAAAAGAAAAACCCTTAAATTTACCATTTCCTTTAGTTACTGTTTATGAGTGAAAGAAACAGCCCAGTGTGTGATTTTTTACCAAAAGAAACAATAATTCTTTTAAAATTGTGTGTGTGTGTGTGTGTGTGTGTGTGTGTGTGTGTGTGTGTGTGTGTGTGCGCGCGCATTCAGAACACATGTGTTTTCAAAGAGGGCATCGGATCTCTGGTGGTTGGAGTTACAGGTAGCTTTGAGCTGGGCATCAAACTCAGGTTCTCTGCTAGGGCAGAATTCACTCTTACCTGCTAAAGCATCTCTCTAGCTCCCATAATTCTCTTTATATCTCACTACTGAAAAATTCTCAAATTATAATTTACTTCTCATTCCTTTCGCTCTTAGAAAGCGCCTCACGTAGCCCAGGAGGCCTCCAATTTCCCTGTGTAACCAGGGCAGGTTTTGAACTTCTGATCCTTCTGTAGCATGAGCAGGCTTGCTTTACCCACCAGGCTTGCTTTGTGCGGTGTTAGGGGAAACCCAGAGTGCCTGTGTGCTAGGCAAGCACACTACTGTGAGCTACATCCTAGACCCTATTTTGGTTTCTTGCCCTTTAAACTTTCCTTTAAGGAACCCATTCATAGGTGTTGTGAGTGAAATGAACTGAATGCTGTTAGGCAACTTCTGAGCATTTAGCAGCTAGATGGCTTCTTAAAGTGACTCACGGCCCCAAGCCGGTTCTCCATTGTGCCTCAGAGAGAGGAGGGGATGAGGAAGCCCTCACTCAAAATTGGCTTCAGGGGACTCTGATGAGGAAGAATTTGAGGTGAGAGGTCCTGGCCCAGGGGAGGGACTATTTCTGATGAGGTCATGGGGAGGGAATGCCTGCCTGGGCAGAGGTGGGAGCCTGGGACAGCTGCCAGGAGCAGGGTCAGGAAGCAGGACAGACAGAAAAGGGAATTCTGCCTGAGGATTAGGGGGTCTCAAGGAATTGCTTTGAAGTTTCATCCTTAGGCAGGCTCAAGTCCTAGGGAAAAAAAAATAAACAATGGGCTTTTGTCTCCCTCCTGCCTAGGAGAGGACCCAACCTTGCCTTAACTCCACTGGTCTGGCCACAGCTGAGCCTTGCCACAACTCGTGACACCCACACACCACAAAACTGCCTACTATACCCTGTTTCCTAAAGTCTCGGTGGAGTTTAAATGGTTTCTCAGAGGTTTCCTGCAGACTTGCAAACCTTGTTATGCATGTTAAAAGGGGGGTTTTAGAGACAGTGCCCTGGGGATCTAAGGTGTTTTGTATTGTTTATACATTCTGAGAATTGAACCCTGGCAAGCACTCACTCCTCCACATGCCCCCCCCCCACACCAGCTACACAGCCTAGCAGGATCTAGGTTTTAAGCATAGTTCCCAGCTGATTTTGGTATGCAGTCATGTTTTGTAGCTCGGAGGACATGGGTGCTCTTAATCCTTGTGTTCAAGGCCTCTGAAACCAGGCCCAGTAGGAAACAAAAACTGCAATAAGATACAAATAACAATAGTTAACATATTTCAAGATTGTGAGTGTGTGTGTGTGTGTGTATGAGCACACATGTGAATGCTGCCTGTGTGCAGGTGTCCAAGGAAGCTAAGAGTGTTGGATCCCCTGGAACTAGAACTACAGGTGCGTGCCGGGATCTGAACTTGGATCCTCTGGAAGAGTAGCACACACTCCTACCTGTTGAGCCTCTCTCCATTGTGGAAGCACACACATAGCCAATGAATTGTAGAGATGGAATTCAAGCAGCCATCTGTCAAATTCCAGGGTTTAGGAAGTTGACCTAGAGTGGCCCACTATTCAGTTTGCCGGGGACCGAGGGGCTTGCCCAACACGTGGGACTTTCAGAACAAAAACTGGGAGAATCCTAGAGGAGTCAAACACAACCAGGATTGGGAGGTTTTGACCTGAGACAGAAGCACCTACACCACTTTTGACCATCTGACATTGAACAAGCTTCTCCACCATCCCCAGCCAGTAGCCTCGTCTGATTGTCACACGTGTCACAGAGGTGACCAGTGAATAAGACAGCTTAGATAGCCATACACATGTGTGCCTCACATTGGCAATAAACGTGAGCTGCACACAGGTACACATGGGAAGAACTGTATTATACTGTCCAATTGGTACTGATTTCAAATCCAGAAGGAAAAACACTGTTATGATCTCTTCGAGGAATTTCTGTTGTCTCTTCCTCCAGGACTCATTCAATTCAATATGTCCTACATACACTCAGTCAAACTAAATTATCTCTCTTGCACTTTATTCTCTTTATTTAGTTTTAGTAGGGGAAAGTTATAACACAATCCCCCACTACCACAAACTTTACAATAGAGGTCTCCACATTTGGGGGCAATCTCAGGGTCAGAAGATCTGGATTGCAGTGGCTAAGCCTCATCTTGAGAAAACTCCCTTCTTGAATGAGGGATCGCTTGCGTTTGTTGAAATTTATTTTTAACAACTGCATACATGTGTATGATGTATTCTGATCAGACTCAGTCCAGCCTTTGCCCTCAATTGTCTACTTCCCACTGCTCTGGTTCTCTTGTGTGGGGTGTGTGTGTGTGAGTATGTATGTGTGACTGTGTGTGAGTGAGTGTGTGAGTGTGTGTATGTGTGAGTGTGTGTATGTGTGTGTATGGGGGTGGGGTGCATGCATGTGGGATGGTGGGGGTTGGGGACGGAGGGGTGTCCAGCTCTGATATCCTTGCTATCCCCTCTTCAGAGTGTTTCATGAGCCTTGCAGAGGGTGATAGAGATGTCCCCTTCAGGCCTGAGTACTTCTTGCAGTTTTAAAGCTTTTTGCATGTTTCTAGGTACTCTATTATCTCATTCATTGTGTTCAGCAGCCCCCAATTAAACTCTTTCCTGACCATTGAGCTAATCCAGTAACTATTTTTTGTTATTCAAGTACGGTTTTCTCTGTGTAGCCTTGGATGTTCTGGAACTTACTCTGTAGACCAGACTGGCCTCCAACTCACAGAGATTACCTGCCTCATCTGGGATTAAAGGTGTGCGCCACCACTGCTCTGCCCAATGACTATTTTTGATAAGATTTACAGTTGGATTTCTTCATAGCTGATGTTGCTTCACATCTGCTTGGTTTTTATTTTGCTATACACATTCCTTGAATCTCTCCCTCCCACATTTCTTCCTCTGAGACACTTGGGCTATTGGTTCCACCAGCCACCTTTCTCAGCATCCCTTCTGAGCTTTGGCATGGAGTCAGCTATACCGCTAGAGCTGGGCACAGTGCGTGTGCTGCATTTCGCTTTGTGGTTTCCCTCCTATATTGTATCATAACTCACTCCCCCTCCCGCAGTTTCCCTGATGTTTGTTAGCCTAGTTTACAACCAAGTCTCATATCAGTGAGTCCAAGGTCCAATTGGGCACAAGTTCAGCAATGTTAAAGAGCTGGGACGGACATTATCAAGGCCTCCTTCCTTCCCTCTGGCACTCTTCGAACGCTACTGTCTGGAGGTGTAAGCCCAGGGGGAGGTCACTGTCCTTCAGCCTCTTCTCAAGGGAATGAGGCTCCAGTACCACACAGCGGGCCTGGCTTTGCTGTCTGGGACAAGGTATTTGATTTCCCATTGTGCAAGAGAAACGAAGCTGGCTAGTGCTGCCTGCTTCAGACCAGAGCTCAGTCAAGCCTAACTCCCCAGCTGAGGGCTGAGTCTTCCACTGTTTATTGAGCACAGACAATACCACATCTGCACTGCACCTCCCTGTGCCTTTGAGAAGAGTTGTGCAGAGACTCTCTCTCTCTCTCTCTCTCTCTCTCTCTCTCTCTCTCTCTCTCTCTCTCTCTCTCTCTCTCTCAGCTAGTAGCTCATGTAGCCCAGGCAGGGCCCATGCCTTTACTTGCTAGGATTACTGGTGTGTGCCACCATGCCCAGTTTATACAGTTCTAAGGATCAAACGCAGGGCTTTGTGCCTTCTAGGCAAGCATTCTACTGAGTTACCATCCCCAACCATATGAAATGTATCCTTTACCCAACACTTAGAGAACAGGATCACAAAAGAACAATCCTGCTAAGTCATCGCATCTCAGATATTTTTCTGGAGTTGAGTTTTAAAAGAAAATAAAAAAGCAAGAACAATTCAAACTTTTCAGGGATGTTTCCCTTGGCACTGGAAACAGTAGTTATGACAACCAAGAAAATGCAATGGGAGCCATGGTTTGTTTGTTTCAATATAGTATTTTTTCTGATTCTTTGGGAATTTTACATCATATACCCCAATCACAATCACTGCCCAGTCCTTCCATGTAAGCACCTCCCTCCCCCCAAAAAACCCAGTTTGTGTTATCTGTATCCTCACTGGAGCATGGTCAAACTCTCTTAATAGAGCTGAGTCCTTCCCCTCCGGCACTGCCCCCACCACAAACCATCAAGTGTGGAGAGCTGCACTTCGGCATTCTTATCACACTTCTCAGGAGTTCTCTTCCACGGCTTCCTGTTTAGGCTGTTAATTGAGGGGAGGGAGGAGGATGGGATTGTCGCCGAGGCCTTCCATGTCCCTCTTTCTCAACTGTGCATCTGCAGTCATCCATATCACTGCAAAAGTAGCCTCTTTGCTCTTTACAGTCAGCAGGAGCACAGATCGTGGGCTTCCACATGGTTTCTGGTGACAGCTCAGACAGTGAACACCGGAAACTCTGTTTTAATAGTAATATAGCTAACTGACTCCCTAGACCAGTTCTAAATCACAGAGATAGGTCAGGGAAAGAAAGACCCCTGTGTTTGACTCTTGTTGGGAATCTGTCACTAACTCCCTGCCTAATCCTGGGTACCAATTTATCCCTCCATCTCTCTCCATTAAAGGGAGATCCCTCCAAGGTGGATCTCGTGGCAAAGACTTGTAAGCCCAGCAACTTGGAAGGATCAAAAGCTCAAGACATACCTGAGCTACAGAGTGAGTTCATGACCAATTTGAACAACTAAGTGAGACTCTGTCTCAAAATAAGAAAGAGAAAGAAAGCCAGGTGTCGATGGCACACACCTTTAATCCCAGCACTCAGGAGGCAGAGGCAGGCGGATCTCTGTGAGTTCCAGGCCAGCCTGGACTGCAGAGCGAGTTCCAGGACAGCCTCCAAAACAATACAGAAAAACCCTGTCTCAAAACACCAAAAAAAAGAAAAAATAATGAAAGAAAGTAAGAGGATCGAGGCTATAGCTCAATGATAGGTCACTTGCCTAGTATGTGTGAGGAACTGGGTTCTATTCCCAGAACCACCAAGAAGGGAAGAGTAGCCCCCTCCCTGGCCAGTTAGGCAGGCCTGGGATTCTCTCACTGTAGGTAAGTGCAGCCTCACATTCCATGAGACAGAAGCAGGATTCCAAGTGAGCCCCCATTCTCAAGGGCTATGTGGGATGGTTATTTTCCTCTTCTCACAAGACCCTCACTTGAATTCCTCATCAAGGTTTTAGGAAGTCTCACGGGGTGAAGTGGCCCCATGGCCCAGTGTCACATGGTGAGGCCCCAAGAACGATCCTCTGCAATGCAGGGAGAAAAGCTGAGAGGAAGTCAGGTCGTTCTGTATTTCCCAGAGAAAGGCGATACAGTTAGTCTGTAAGCAGCTTGTGTGAGGTCAAAGTCAGAATGGGAAAGCAGTTTCAGCAGAGACCCGCCCCTGTCTTGGCTCTGGGCGGGGCCTCTGGAAAGCTAGCGCTGTGTGCCCATTCTGCCTGCTCAGGACTTCAGAAAACACACAGGCCCTAGGAGCAATTCTTCAGTGGGCTGCAGCGGCCCACAGGGTGTCTGCCACCAAATGAGAGCCATACTCTACAGTGGGGCCAACTTCTACCCCCACCCCCCACCAAACCTCGCCAGTGTGAGGTTTATAGAAGTCACAGGGGCAAACCTTGTAGATGAAGTCAGATAACCTCCCTCCCCTTCCATCACAGAACCCTGAAGGCAGCATTAGAACCTCAGAGTGCACATCCTGTGCCAAGGTAAATGGCTCCCAGGCCACCAGCTGAAGAGAAATGGTTATCCCCAACTTTACATCCTTATCTGCAGAATCAAGGGCACTAGTGACTCCAGGACCACTTCCCGGGATATTAGGAAAATGGGTGAGTTATTGATGGCACAGAACTAACATTCTCTGAATGGAGAGGATAATCAGACAGCCCCATTGTGTCTGTTTTCAATTCTACCATTGATGAGCATTTACTTGTTACCCATAGCTTGTAGCAGCACGTGCATGCTGAGGGATGCTGGTCTCTTGCATATCATAGCTAAGAACAGACTCAGAACCTCAGCTCTTTACTTCCTAGGGGACCTCAAGAAACCTACATCACATCTCTGTGTTCACTGTGTGTGTGTGTGAGAGAGAGAGAGAGAGAGAAACAGAGACAGAGAATGTGCATGTGGGAATAACCTTGAATATCATTCTTCAAGATGCTGTCTACCTTGGATTTTTAAATATTTGTTTATTATTATTGCATGTACATATGTGCGTGTGTGCATGTATGCATGATATATGGTTAGATGCACATGACACAGCATGAGATCAGATGACAGCTTAGTAGGGTTCATTCTCTTCTCCCACCTTCCTGTGTGTTCCAAGGATGAGACTCCGGTCACCAGGCTTGTATAGCAAACTCTTTTTTTATCCACTGAGCCATCTTACCACCCCTCCCTTGTTTAGTGAGCCACTCTCACTAACCTGGAATTCACCAATTTAGCTAGGCTAGCCGGCTAGCCAGCCCCTGGGATGTGTCTGTCTCCACCTCCTTGGCAATGATATTACAAATGTATACCATGCCTAACCTGACTTTTTCATGTGGGTTCTGGGGAAAAGCTTGTAAAACAAGTGCCTTGTAGACTGAGCCATCTCCCCAAGTGACTCCCACCCCATTTCCTCATCTGGTAAATAAAGATGATATAGCAGCACCAGCGCTATGAGGCTGATACAGAGAACAAATGAACTAAAGCATAAATGACTTAAACATGTGCTGCAAACATAGTTAAGTCTTCGATACATTTTGTCACAAAGGATGGGAGTTATTACACAGTACGCTCACTCATATCATGATATCAGTGGTCATTTGGTCCCGAAACTCTGCTTCCATTCTGGTCCCATAATGTTTTTTAAACTCTCAAAAGTACTTATTAAATACGGAGGCCCCAGTTTTCAGCCTAGAAGACTCCAAAGCAGACAGTCTGAAATGGAGCCCAGAACTGGACGTTGAACTGTCTGCCCCCAGGTGGTCCTGATGGAGGTTCAGGAACCATGCTCCAGAGACGTAAGGTCAGAAATACACCTCTCCTCTTTCATGCTCCCCAGGACAGTCAGAGGAGGACATTTGGAGCCATAAGAAGGCTTGTGTTGTTTGGCTGTTCCATTAAATGAGGTGTTGGTGGGATGATCAGAGCAAATGGAGAGTCCTGAGCTCACAGGTAGGCAATAAGTTGAAGCAGAATCCAGGACAGAAGGGTGCA